CTGTTAAACATTACAGATTTTTTGGAGTATTTCTATAAAATTGTACTTACGATTCGTGATCAAGGTAAACCTATTACATATTTAGACCATGATTATAACAGAAGAAGGAAACCATCCAAAATTATAGTGCCAAAACCAAATAAAAGTATATTTGACAGATGCCATTGCTTTTTGAGCCCAAAATGTTACAATAGTGCGCCTATAGACATGATAAAACTTCAGTTTATTTAAAAAAAAATTAACAGTGTGAGTGAAAAATAGAGAATCCAAAAAGTTATCTACGCGTAAAATCATATGCTTAAACCCTACGCAGCTATTATTTTTCTGCTGTTTAGAATTATATCAAAATTTGCATGAAATTATTTTTTTAATTTACTTCCTTGTACCCCTATGGGGGGGTATTATTTTTTATTCCACGCTCATTTATTCATCTGTCGTTATAGGTATATATTTTCACAGAGTATGATGTATTTTATATAATGAAGAATAAATATTTGAAAAAACTGAATTTTCGGATTAACTGTAGTGCTATTTATATAACGATAAATATTTAAATTTAAAAAAAATGAATATACTAATGAATATTGCTAATTACTTTCAATGCTTCATAGAGCATTTAACCTACATATTTGCAAACATTGGTCTTCTATAAAGTAAAAATTGCGCTAAAAATCCAACAATGTCAGCCTCATTTTTCTCGTATACTGTGACCTTCTAGTTAAGTGTGCACAGAACAAACAATCCGTCAGAAAATCTCATGGCTGCCTGAGCTTCTGTTTGCTTTTTCTTTCATCTGCCCAGACCAGACAAGGACTCGTCATCATCGCTTCGAGTTTGTTTCAATATTTGGACAACCTTCTAAAGCAACGCGAACTGTGTTATTCGGATTTTTAACTTTTTATGGTACTTTTATTGACCGATTACTAGTCGTGTTGAAATAGTTATGGTATGCTTGCATTTTACAGATTTTTTTTTCTAAAAGGAATTCCAGATTGACATTTAATTATCTCTAATTGCCGAAGATTACCTCTTTCACCCTTGTTCAAGAGTCTTAAAATACTGTCACAACTAGAAGGAAATAAAATAACGTATTCAGTATGGCGGACATGTTTACAGAAAAAATTTTGATCTCACTCAAATTCGAGTTTTTTCATGTTTCTGAGGTTAATTTGATATTGAAATTTCGAAAATAAAATGACGTATTCAATGTAATATGGCGGATATGTTTGCAAAAAAATGTTTGATCTAACTCAAATTTGAGTTTTTTATGTTTCTGAGGTTTTTGATAACGAACTTGATATCGAAACTTTGAAAATAAAATGACGGATTCAGTACGACGAATATGTTTGCAAAAAAATGTGCTCAAATTCGACTTTTGTATTTTTCTGAGGTTTTTGATAATGAATTTGATATCGAAATTTAGAAAATAAAATGACGGATTCAATAGGGCTGATATGTTTGCAAAAAAATGTTTTGATCCCCCTCAAATTCGAGTTCTTTATATTTCTGAGGTTTTTGATAACGAATTTGATATTGAAATTTCGTAAATAAAAGCACGGATTCAGTATGGCGAACATGTTTGCAAAAAAATGTTTCATCGTGCTCAAATTCGACTTTTGTATTTTTCTGAGGTTTTTGATAATGAATTTGATATCGAAATTTCGAAAATAAAATGACGGATTCAATAGTGCTGATATGTTTGCAAAAAAATATTTTGATCCCCCTCAAATTCGAGTTCTTTATATTTCTGAGGTTTTTGATAACGAATTTGATATCGAAATTTCAGAAATAAAATGAATTCAATATGGTGGACCTGTTTGCAAAAATTGTTTTGATCTCACTCAATTTTTTTATGTTTCTGAGGTTTTTGATAACGAACTTGATATCGAAAATTCGAAAATGAAATGACGGATTTAATATGGCGGATATGCTTGCAAAAAAATGTTTTGATTTGCCTCAAATTCGAGTTCTTTATGTTTCTGAGGTTTTTGATAACGAATTTGATATCGAAATTTCAGAAATAAAATGACGAATTCAATATGGTGGATGTATTTGCAAAAAAATGTTTTGATCTTACTCAATTTTTTTATGTTTCTATCTGACAATTTTTTTATGTTTCTGAGGTTTTTGATAACGAATTTGATATCGAAAATTCGAAAATGAAATGACGGATTTAATATGGCGGATATGTTTGCAAAAAAATGTTTTGATTTGCCTCAAATTCGAGTTCTTTATGTTTCTGAGGTTTTTGATAACGAATTTGATATCGAAAATTCGAAAATGAAATGACGGATTTAATATGGCGGATATGTTTGCAAAAAAATGTTTTGATTTGCCTCAAATTCGAGTTCTTTATGTTTCTGAGGTTTTTGATAACGAATTTGATATCGAAATTTCAGAAATAAAATGACGAATTCAATATGGTGGATGTATTTGCAAAAAAATGTTTTGATCTTACTAAATTTTTTTTATGTTTCTATCTGACAATTTTTTATGTTTCTGAGGTTTTTGATAACGAATTTGATATCGAAAATTCGAAAATGAAATGACGGATTTAATATGGCAGATATGTTTGCAAAAAAATGTTTTGATTTGCCTCAAATTCGAGTTCTTTATGTTTCTGAGGTTTTTGATAACGAATTTGATATCGAAAATTCGAAAATGAAATGACGGATTTAATATGGCGGATATGTTTGCAAAAAAATGTTTTGATTTGCCTCAAATTCGAGTTCTTTATGTTTCTGAGGTTTTTGATAACGAATTTGATATCGAAATTTCAGAAATAAAATGACGAATTCAATATGGTGGATGTATTTGCAAAAAAATGTTTTGATCTTACTAAATTTTTTTTATGTTTCTATCTGACAATTTTTTATGTTTCTGAGGTTTTTGATAACGAATTTGATATCGAAAATTCGAAAATGAAATGACGGATTTAATATGGCGGATATGTTTGCAAAAAAATGTTTTGATTTGCCTCAAATTCGAGTTCTTTATGTTTCTGAGGTTTTTGATAACGAATTTGATATCGAAAATTCGAAAATGAAATGACGGATTTAATATGGCGGATATGTTTGCAAAAAAATGTTTTGATTTGCCTCACATTCGAGTTCTTTATGGTTCTGAGGTTTTTGATAACGAATTTGATATCGAAATTTCAGAAATAAAATGACGAATTCAATATGGTGGATGTGTTTGCAAAAAAATGTTTTGATCTTACTCAATTTTTTTATATTTCTATCTCACTCAATTTTTTTTATGTTTCTCAGGTGTTTGATAACGAATTTGATATTGAAAATTCGAAAATAAAATGTCGAATTCAATATGACGGACATGTTTGCAAAAAAATGTTTTGATCTCGCTCAAATTTGAGTTTTTTTATGTTTCCAAGGTTGTTGATAAAAAATTTGATAATAATAATAATATATTGAAATTTCGAAAATAAATGACGGATTCAATATGGCGGACATGTTTGCAAAAAAAGTTTTGATCTCACTTAAATTTGAGTTTTTTTATGTTTCTGAGATTTTTGATAACGAATTTGATATTGAAATTTCGAAAATAAAATGACGGATTCCGTATGGCGGACATGTTTGCCAAAAAATGTTTGATATCGCTCAAATAGTTTTTTATGCATCAAAGGTCGCTGATATCGAATTTTTCAATAAATGCCAGATCTATGATAATAATAATTAACGTCTTTTATGGCTCGGACTTAGGAGCTGGTATTTATACATTTCATCTATTTGAGGTCATTAATGGCCTTTTCTGAGATCATTTACAAGTCTACAACATGAATTCATAATATACTGAATTCGATTTCTTGTTCTAATATCTAAATAGGGTTAGTAAACCACTAAGCAATATGATATTTTTGAAAACAAGAAAGATTCGTTCAGTTGTTTTCTCGCAGATTTATGTAGAGAATAGCGTATCACTTATAAATTAGATGGTTAACGTGTTCAACAGATCCATGGAGCTGATGTTTGGAAAAATGTGTTGATTGGGAACAAATTACAGATTTTGTGTTTTTGAAATCGCTGATAACTAATTTTATATAAATTTTTCGAAATCAAAACGGCAAGTTCTGCAGTCAAGATTGACATATTTCTCAACTGGGTGTCTGATATACATGCTACTATTAAATATACAGCAGACTCTAATGGACTTTTTTCGTAACTGTTTTTTGAATTCACTTATTCACTATGAATTACAAGTCCGAATCAATTACAGTATTTAATCAAAATCTGAATTAAAACTCGAAAAATTGTTTTTTGAACTTTTGGCCAGCTTTTTTGATTCTCGTACCACTGTAGCCTGACACTAAAACATAGTTTGAAAAATAATATTCGCCATCGACATACACAGTGACAAAGGTATTTTCTCATTTTTTAACTAAATACGCACGTCATTTTCACGTGATGTTGACACATCATGAAAGTTTCAGTACCCTCCAAAGCTTGCCTACCTGGACGACTCATCTTTACCAGTCGCCCGTAGGCCCGTTTTAAAAATTCCTTAATAAGAACGAGACGAAACGTAGGACCAGCCGGTTTAAAAAACGAGATTCCAAGCCCGTCCATCTTCTGTATTAAGAGACATACTCACACAGCCATTAACTCGACCATAAAAGGTCCCACTAAGTAACAATGTGTTACTTTTTCTTTCTCTTTCTTTCCGTCTCTTGCGTTTCTGTTGAGAATACTGGATAAATGTTCGCTGGGAATTTTCGGTGACTAATACAGGACGAGAAATTTTCGTATCGGAGAATTTATGAAAGTAAAAATTAAAAAAAGGGAACATAAGAACTACTTTTTTGTCATTACATGACATTTTGACGTTTACGGGTAATTAGAAGTCTGGAAAACTCCATGTTTCACATTTCACAGTCTGGGGACTAGAAGAGCTTACTTTTGGAATTACTCTAGAATCCAAAGTTGATAAAAAGTCCAGATTTGAGTTGCTTGAGCTTGTCGATTAATGTGATTTTTTCTTTGCAGGTGAGCCCTTCAGTTCCAGGTTGAAGTAGTAAGTAAGCTAGTTTTTTTTGCAGTTATCTTATTTAAATCAGGTAACCCAATTATTCTCATTAACTATTGTTATACTTTTTTACAATTTTTGAAGCCATGTTGAATATTGCTGATCTTGCTGGTCTCATTACAATTTCCCAGCACAATAAGTAGTTTCACTTACAAGTCTGCGTTCTTCATAACTCCAAAGTCAAATTCAAAAGTAAGTCGATGTCTCGTTTTTGACGTGAAATAAAAATTATGTACTTTCTGGTCAATCAGCACGCAATTTTTAATTGTCTTTTTAAATTGTATCAAGCATAGCAAAAATGCAATTTCCTCCTTATCTCATAGCAGGAGCGCAGTACCATTTGCATACCACCTCGCGTTTCTGTGGTCCAACAGCAACTCGTCGTCCATCAATTTTACGAGAAAAGTCTGGTCGACAGTGCGATTTTCAGAAACCTATAGATCTGTATCAGGATCGCAGAAACGGCAAGAGATATCCATGCCATGGATTTGAATTTCGTTCTTTTCTCATATCAGGAGCAGAGTACCATTTACATATCTTATCACTTTTTGATAACCTGGTAACAACGACAAAATTTCGCGAAAACATCGTAGGATAAGCAGAGCACCACTCACATATCTTCTCGTGTTTCTGTGCTCCTGATAGCGACTCGTCGTCCACCAATTTTGCAAGAATGGTCTAGACGATTTTCAAAAACCTATAGATCTGTATCAGGATCGCAGAAACGACAAGGAGCATAGATGCCAAAGTTCAAAATTTCGCGAAACCATCATAGCATAAGCCGAGCACCACTCACAATCTTCTCGTGTTTCTGTGCTCCTGATAGAGACCGTCGTCCACCAATTTTGCAAGAACGGTCTAGACAACTTTCAGAAACCTATAGGTCTGTATCAGGATCGCAGACACGGCAAGGGGTATCGATGCCATGGATTTGAATTTCGTTCTTATCTTATATCAGGAGCAGAGTACCAGTTACATACCTCTTCGCGTTTCTGAGATCCTGGTAACAAGTCTCCGATTTACCAATTTTACGACGAAGCTGTGGTTGACAGTACGATATTCAGAAACATATAGATCTGAATCAGGATTGCAGAAACGACTAGGAGGCTCCTAGTAGGAGCATAGTGCAAAATTTCGCGCAAACATCGTAGCATAAGCAGAGCATCATTCACATATCTCCTCGGGTGTCTGTGCTCCTGATAGCGACTCGTCCTTACGTGAAAGGTCTGGACGACGCGACGGTTCGATTTTCAGAATTATATATATATATATATATATATATATATATATAGATCTGTAAGAGGATCGCAGAACCAGCAAGATGTATCGATGCCATGGATTTGAATTTCGTACTTATATCAGGAGCAGAGTACCATTTACATACCTCTTCGCGTTTCTGAGACCCTGGTAACTAGTCTCCAATTTACCAATTTTACGAAGAAGCTGTGGTCGACAGTGCGATATTCAGAAACATATAGATCTGTATCAGGATTGCAGAAACGACTGTGGGCATAGATGCTAAAGATGAACATTTCGTCATAGCATAAGCGTTTCTGTGATTCTGATGGCACCGTCCACCAATTTTACGAGACAATTCTGGTCGACTGTGCATTGTGTCATAACTGTTGCCTGTTGCTACTATTCTTTATTGTTCAAAGTACTTTTTGCAACGGTTTTCTCTACTTTATAACATCGAAACTTTTTCCAAAAAAAGGTTAAATATAAGAGTAGCCATGGCCTAGCTTCGCTAGTTTCTAACCGTGGACAGTTGCTTTGTGCTCTTTGGCAACTCATTAGGGTGGTGCAAGCTTGGCCCCGGGAACAAAGAACGAAAGTATAGCAACTATTCTGGTACTTTGGATGGAGGATAGTCGCTAGGTTTTCGATCCTTGTGCCAGAGGCCAAGTTTGGTCCATTTTGATGAATTGCTAAAAAGCACACAACAGCTGTCTGTGGTCGAACGAAAACAGTATTTTCAGTAATTACATTCTTATTTTAAAATATTAGTATAACGCATATCTCATCTTAGTTAATTCTGCTTGACTTTTATTTATTTTATACGTGCATCGAGTGCACTAATTGCGGTTGACACAATACCGTACTCGTGCTCTACTTAAACAGCTGATCGAGCGGTTTTCTTTTCGTACACATCGTACAAAATAAAGGTGTAATGTTTCTGGTGTTTTATATTCTTTTTTTGCGGTTTCAGTTTAAACTGATTATTCTCGGTTTAGCCATTAATCCGCAGTTTTTCGTCGGGTATTTCTCACACCACGCTCAGCCATCTGTGCCACGGTACTGCTTGGGCACAGCGCGTTTCGAGTTGCGTAACGACGCGGGTCCGAGAGTAAAAGTGGGTTACAGATTTCGGCAGCTTTTTTTACCGCGTGCAATATGCTTATTTTGTTGCTCAATTTTATCTTATTGCTTCTCACCTAGTGACCCCTGTACCATTGATAGTCTACATCAGTAGTAGTATCTCGTGTAAGCTTGTAATATTTTTTAATGGATATAGATTGTTTTTCATCTGTTAATCTATATTATAGAAAAGTCCCCCCCCCCTGAATCCGTTCCACCCGGTCTTGCCAGTGGGTATCAGTCTATTCTTCTTGAATTTTCTCCACCACGTTCTATCTTGTTTCTCCACCTCGGGCTATCTTCAGCTAATCATTCTGCTGCTGTTCATCCATCTGTCTTAAGTACCTCCGTTTCATCGATTCATATCATTCCTGGACTTTATGTCTTTTTCGCAAATTTTGTCTTTTAAATTGTATCAAGCATAGCAACAATGCATTTGTCAATGCAATTTCGTCCTTATCTCATAGCAAGAGCAGAGTACCATTTGCATACCACCTCGCGTTTCTGTGATTCCGATAGCAACTCGTCGTCCACCAATTTCACGAGAAAAGTCTGGACGTCAGTGCGATTTATAGATCTGTATCAGGATCGCAGAAACGGCAAGAGGTATCGATGCCATGGATTTGAATTTCGTTCTTATCTTGTATCAGGAGCTGAGTACCATTTACATACCTCTTCGCGTTTCTGAGAACCTGGTAACAAGTCTCCAATCTACTAATTTTACGAAGGATCTGTGGTCGACAATGCGATATCCAAAAACTTATAGATCTGTATCAGGATCGCAGAAACGGCAAGAAATATCGATGCCATGGATTTGAATTTCGTTCTTATCTTATATCAGGAGCAGAGTGCCATTTACATACCTCTTCGCGTTTCTGAGAACCTGGTAACAAGTCTCCAATCTACTAACTTTACGAAGGATCTGTGGTCGACAATGAGATATTCAAAACCTTATAGATCTGTATCAGGATTGCAGAAACGACAAGGAGCATAGATGCCAAAGTTCAAAATTTCACGGAACCATCATAGCATAAGCAGAGTACCACTCACATATCTTCTCGTGTTTCTGTGCTCCTGATAGCGACTCTTCGTCCATCAATTTTGCAAGAACGCTCTGGACGATGTTCATAAATCTATAGATCTGTATCAGGATCGCAGGATCGACTAGGAGCATAGATGCCAAAGTTCAAAATTCCACCAATTTTGCAAGAACGGTCTAGAAGATTTTCAGAAACCTATAGATCTGTATCAGGATCGCAGAAACGACAAGGAGCATAGATGCAAAGTGCAAAATTTCGCGGAAACATCGTAGCATAAGCAAAGCACCATTCACATACCTCCTCGTCTTTCTAGACGAGTTTCAGAAACCTATAGATCTGTATCAGGATCGCAGAAACGGCAAGAGTTATCGATGTCATGGATTTGAATTTCGTGCTTATCTCGTAGCAAGAGCAGAGTGGCATTTGCAGACTTCCTCCCGTTTCTGCTAACGTGATACCAATTTCACGAAGAAACTAGATCTGTATCAGGATTGCAGAAACTACTAGGAGCATAGATACCAAAGTTATGACGCTCCATCCTGTCGCGTCCCAGAGAAGCTTTGCAGATGCGTGGCTTCTCCGCTTCACCCCACAACGACAACGCGGGTGCTCCCCAGGGATCGGTTTTCGCTCCCGCATTGCTCCTCTTAGATGTCATCGACCTCCTTTCCTGTACGATCAATCCGATCCACTGCTTTGATGATATCACTCCACAAGGTCTGTCGTAAAGTAAACAGGACTTTTGAAAGTTATCCGATACAAGTATCGCCATCTGTTAGCGTTGGACAGATACAGCTCGTCAAGTGTAGGAAGAGATATGAGGATTTGCTGGGATTGCGCACGCGAGAGAGGGAGAACGCATTCGGAGCAAAAGAGATGGCACGTACAATACGTGCGATTCGATTTTGAGTGGTACAGTCTGGGTCCTAAATTAATCGAATAGTTCCAATAATGGAATACGTATTATGTGAAGCCTGCCTTTTTAAGGAAAGTAAAACAATTTATTCCATAAAATAAGTATTGCACTGTATGAAATTGATTGGTAACTCAATATATTTTTAATTGTTAATAATTTCAATAAATACACAATCAAAAGGAAAGTAAGATCAGAAAACTAACATCGTAGTATGTACAGTTGGCAATATTTTAAAGATTTGTACGATCAAATCCTGAAAGTTCTGGATCGGAATCTTAAACTTAAATCTTCGGTTCCGCTATCTTCGTCTAGGTTTATTATTATTTGATCCACAACTAAGTCGAGTGCTCGTTCCATTTCCATATACTGCTTCTCAAAATCTTTGGCATGCTCACATCGCTTTTTCCATTCTTTTGTGTGGTGAAGGCAAGTAAAAGTCGTCGCAACGTCGCACATATTGTTTCAAAGATGTCCATGCCAACTCAATTGGAGGAGACTATACAGGGTGTCCGCAAAGTTGGGGTTTTCCTTTTCAGAAACAACTACCCTTGAAATAACAAAGGTAATGTGTAGTGAAACGAGGGCGACCAAGTAAAAAAAAATAAAGGAAAAAGTACTCACTCTCCAGTTGACGAGAAGGGCTAAGTACGTCTCTGCCCGCTCCAACAGAAAATG